AAACAGACAGCTGGTTGTTAAAAAGCAGCCAGTGTGGAGCTGCACTTCCTGTTTGACACACCAACATCAAACTTGTGTGTGTGTGTGTCTCTCTCTCTGGGCGGTCGACATAGGTCATTATGGTTAGTGGAGCACGCTCGGTTTAGCGCACGCGGGTACGCGTCCTCTTCTTTCCTGGTCTTTTTTGTTTTGTGTTTGTCTCCATCTCACCCTACTGATGTCCAGCTGTTGCTCCACTTCCTGTTGGACAGTTAGTCACACATTCCCATCAGCTGTGGGCGGAGCCAGACTCCTTGGCTGACAGTAACTTCCTGCCCGTTCACTGTGACATTGTTTGGTGATTGATTTGAGTGGCGAGGCTCCAGCGTGCTGGCGTGTCAGTGTTTAAAGCTGCAGATGCTGTGATTGCGATGACTCTGCTGCCCTCCCGGTGCCAACTAACACGCCGTGACCTCAGCAGCCGTCCTCACGTCACTCACGGTCTGTCTCCAAAGCCTCGCCGTTGTTTTGAGGCTGACGCGACCGTGTTTACACAGAGTTGGAAAATGAGTTTGATAAACACTCGTTTAAACCCACTCTCAGGTCACCTGTGGGTCTGTGTGTGTTCTGCAGGGGAACGATGAGGAGGCCGTGCTGGACCAGGGCAAGACCAGCTCCACCCTTTACACCAACTTTGAGAAAGAGGAACTGGAGAGTGAGTTTATACACCGACACACACAAAGGTGCCTCAGTGTGTGTTTACAGTCAAACACACAGTAACAAAATGACTCAGCCCGCATTTACACACACACACACACACACACACACACACACACACACACACACACAGCCTGAGGCTCAAGAAAATGATGATTTAAAATATTTCAGAAAGAAATATGTCAAACTTGGAAACAGCCGTAAACAGTCTGCAGTGTGTCGACGTCATTTCTGCAGAAAAAGTGGAAATGAAATCTCGTGACGTGTACACGCCAAACATGGAGTGTGACTCACGTGACCTCAGCTCTTATTGTGAGGTGGCGTGTTCAGAAAGAGGAACTAAAGCACGTACGAACCCCCGTGTGGTGCATGTGCTGCAGCTCCTGTCATTTTCAGCTAAGTCGTTAACCCTTTGAAGCCCAGCTGTATGTTTGTACCTGCCGTAGTGCCATCAGTGCAACCGTTGTATCCCAGAGTTTAATCATGTGTGTGCATGAAGGAAATGGATTTTGTCTCCTTAGTTTCATTTTTGAGATGCAACAATTTTTATAAACTGCAGGAAAAAACAAAAATAATTATTTTTGGCATCAACGGCATCAAATCAAACGATTTCCAACAACCGTGCAGTTTGAGTCCCGAGCCTCCCGGAAACCTCTGAAAGGCCCTGCAGGGAAACACGAATAGTGAGGTCACGGTAATTACAAGAAGCATCTTTAACTCAAACGGAGCTTCAGTTCACATCTCGTTAGACGCTGTAGGTTGTTTCATGTTATTACTAGTTTATTACAGTCCTGTTTTAAACAAACAACTGAGTGAGAGGTCGACACGCAGCCAGAGAAAATCCGACGAACGTTACTGAGGTAAGGAGAAACGGAGCGTGCAGTGCGAGCTGTGCCGCACGCCTCCCGTGTTAGCAGCGCCTTCAGTGTTTCCCTCACGTGTTTGTTTCCAGCGTTCTGTTATCACTGGAGGTGTAGAACAAACTCATGTGACCCCTCTGCTTCTCTCCGTCAGGTCACAGGGCGGTGTACGTTGGCGTGCACGTTCCGCTGGGCCGCCAGAGCCGGAGAAGACACCGTCACCGCGGACATCGACATCACAGGAAGCGCAGAGAGCGCTCGGATCGGGAGGACGGGCGAGAGTCGCCGTCATACGGTCAGGTTTGAACGAGGATAAACAAACACGGGCCAGCTGTAGGACGGCGGCGTGCTGAAGCGTTTGTGTCCCCGCAGACACGCCGTCTCAGAGGGTCCAGTTCATCCTCGGCACCGAGGACGACGACGAGGAGCACATCCCCCACGACCTGTTCACCGAGCTGGATGAGCTCGCCTTCAAAGACGGAGACATGCAGGAGTGGAAGGAGACGGCCAGGCAGGGCGCTTATGCTCTTTCTCTGCTTTGCGTTCAGACGTTAATCTTTCCAATAACGCTGCAGAGCTGTGAGGAGCGATCCTCCCGCCGTGCAGGGGCGAGGCCTGGTTTGTTCAGCGTTTCTGACTCTGGTTAAAGAGGTTTCCTCTCTAATCCAGACTCTGCAGAGCGCTGTGAGGACGAGGAAGACGAGGCTCACTGGATTTGAGAGGAAACCGATGAAGGCAGGCCGAGTCGTGTGGTTTGGAAACCTTCAGATTAACTTATTTACTCAGCAGAGCAAAGTGGATCAGCCCACATTAGTGTAGCATTATAGCATTAGCACGAATCAGACGCCTGGCGTTCTTCAAATGTCAACACTCGGCTGTGTGTGTGTTTGTTCAGGTGGCTGAAGTTTGAGGAGGACGTTGAGGACGGCGGCGAGCGCTGGAGCAAACCCTACGTGGCGACGCTGTCACTGCACAGCCTGTTCGAGCTGCGCTCCTGCATCCTGAACGGCACCGTGCTGCTCGACATGAGAGCCGGCTCCATCGAGGAGATCGCAGGTCAGAGCGCCGTCGGGAACTCGTCCCATCACTCGATACGCTGCTCCAAAAACGACCTTTGTGTTTAAATCTAGAGGAGGTCGGAACGTGCTAAAACCACACTTGAGCTTTAAATCTAGTTTGGATCAGCTGCTGGAGACGAAGAGCGCCACGAAGAGCGCCACGATGAAAGCGCAGCTCTCTGGTTTCCTCCTGCTGGTATAAGCTGCCCCTCAGCAGGCTTCCAGGCATCAGCCAATCTCTAGAAAGTTGGTATTCAGGGCGAGTTCTGACGTCTTGTTTCAGAGAGAAGAGGAAGTGAAAGGCTGCTGCGAAGGCGTTTGATAAATGATTCTGCTGCACGCCTTTCATTTCCTCCTCAGAACATAAACCTGCAGTGCGTTTGTGTCCATCAGCTGACCTCTTGTCCTCCTTCCTCGCAGACATGGTGATTGACAGCATGCTGGCGTCCGGTCAGCTGGAGGAGGGCGCGCAGGAGAAGGTGAGGGAGGCCATGCTGAGGCGCCACCACCATCAGAATGAGAAGAAGCTGAGCAACCGCATCCCGCTGGTCCGATCCTTTGCCGACATAGGCAAGAAATACTCGGAGCCAAACTTACTGGAACGCAACGGTGAGACCGCAGCGCTCTTGTCATCCTCGCACCTGCAGGTCAGGAGACGAGCTGCAGGAGGCCAGTTCGGGTTGACCCCTCCTGACGTCTGGCGCTGCTCGGGCTCTGCAGGGTTTAGTTCTGCACTGTTTAAAAACCGGGGGGTCTAAATGACCTCAGCGGGTCGGCGGCACGCTGCAAACCAGCGTGGCGGTAGGTTTACGAGTTCTTTACTAAGTAATGCACTGTTTTCTTTCCTAGTTCTTTGTCTCTGTTGTCGGGCAGAATGTAGAGTCTGTCCGTCCTGATTGGTCGAGGTAAAGGGGTGACAAGACGACGGGTCTCGTATTGCTGCATGGTGCCGTTGCCGTGGTTTTTGAGTGATTGTGATGAGTGCTGGCTCCGGTTGGTTTCTCACCTGCCCGTACCTGAGCTGCTGTGACCTCACCCTGTTTATTATTGACCGGGACTCCCTGACCTGGCCGGACCCGCTGACTCGCTGAGCTAATAACCAGCTAACAGCATGAGCGGAGTCGGCGTTTTCACATCCGCACTCCTGGATCCTGTTTGTGAGAGAGGAATGTTTTAATGCTGCTCGGGCCGAACGCCATCTGCAGGCGCTGAGCCGTCTGACGTGCGTGTGACCTACGTGACCGATCAGCTGCAGCTTTTACCGTTTGCTCGTCAGTTCAGGAGCTTTTCTTCAGATTGACTCTTTCCTACAGTTTATAAAGCTGAAGACATCAGAGCAGAGCTCAGGGTCAGACTTTGACTGCAGCTGTAATCAGCTTCACGAGGTCATCGCCTCCAGCACGACGCTCCCGGCTCGGTGTGTTCCTCTGCTCTCCACCACAGTGGACTGAGTGGGCTGATGCCCAGTTACAGCAGCTCTTCCTGCATGTGATGGAGTAAACATTCAGTAATTGGCGTGTTCACTGCAGACGGGTAGTTAGAGCGAGGGTGGCCCTCCTGCTGCCTTTACCTGAACAAAGACTGTAACTAAAAGACAGAAAGTGTTTGCTTCTTAAACTTTTCAAACAGGCTGAAAGCGCCAGGTTCATCCTAGCTTGGTGACTGTCCCTCGGGTCCGGAGGCAGCCGGACGACTTCTGTGTCCAACTGACACGATGGGAGGGTGAGGCAGCGACGCACAAATGTCCTACCGCCTACAAAGTGACCACCCCTGTACAGGTGCGATACCTGAGACGCCCTCAGATGGAGGCGAAACATCGTCCAGAACCCAGAAGTCGTCCGGCTGCCCTCCGCTTGAGCACTTCGGACGCCCGGGACAACCGAGAACCGGCACAGACCGCTCTGCATGAGGCTGCTGTGGCTCGTTCAGGACGAGCAGGACTTGGTTCTAATAAAACGCGCGCTGAGGTTTTGCTGCTGTGTAAATCAAACTGAATTGAATCGGTCCCGGACCGATCCAGATGTCTTGGATTTGATGGTAGGCGTAAAGAAAAGGCGGAGCTTCGTGATTGGTGGAGGAAGGTTTAGCTTTAGAAAGCCGATGTTGGTGTGACGTGCGTCCTAACTCACTGATCCATGCACGCTGGCTTGGTGTTTCCTGCAGCATCGTTCTTCATCATCATGATCTTTCTCCTCCTCTTCCTCCTCAGGGGAGGGTCTGTCCTCCTCTCGTCTCTCTCTCCTCCGTCGTTGCTCCATGGGCTCCTTCGACCTCTCCACCCCACCCCCCTCTGCGAGGACCCCAGGCCCGTTCGGGCACCTCCTCCCCGGCTCCGCCTCCTCGTCGCAGACCGACCTCTCTCTGTATCGTTACGGCCGTCACCTCTCCGAACCCAGCCAGCCTCACGGACTCGCCCTTCCCGTCCCCGGTGGCTCTCCACGCCGCTCCTCTGCTCCCGTGGGGCTCCCCAAGGTGGTGGTGCACCCCCCAGAAGAGGAGGAGGAGGAGGTGTTCCACCTGGGAGATGAAGACGACGTGGTTCCTCAAACAGGCAAATACGGCACGGCTTTCCTCCGGCCGTTTCCACGCTCTGACACTGAAGCATGCCCGCTAACGTGCTGATGAAGCTGGAGACGGATGATTGGACGAATGTTGGCAGACTGGCAGCTTATTTGGGGGCGGGGTCATTTTGCATGTTTTTGGTTTATTTTGCTGCCGTCAGTCTGTTGGAGACTGAGCTGCGTGAATGTTGGACCTGCAGTGTCCGAGCCTGGGTTTGTGTTCACATCCAGTCTCGTTCGAGGTTTTCTGTTAACAAACTTTTTTAACAGGTGAAGGTTGAACGGCAGCGTCCTCTGGATCCTCGGTCTCCTTTAGCCTCTGCTGGAGTTAACAAACCGGCCTCTGGTCACACGTGAAGCGCCTCAGATGTTGTTTTCAGCCAATCAGAAAGGAATCAGGCGGCTGCCTGTCATTAGCAGGCTGTTAGCTGTTAGCTGCAGCGACTTAGAGTCTGCATGTTTGTTTCCCTCGCTCTGACAGGCGGCTCTGGTCCGATCTGAGTCCATTTCCCTCCTTTATGAAACATTAAAGATCTGGAAATCAGGACGTCTGAACTTTTGTGGTCTTACTACACAAAAAAACAAAACCCACCAAAAACTACATGTTTCCTTGTATTGTAAACTTGTTCACCGTCTGTGTCGCCGTCAGAAGCGCGGTCAAATGAAAGTTTATTGCTATAGCACATCTTAGCAGACCATCGATCAGCAGCTCGATCTTAGTGCTCTCCTGGGGTTGTACGAGTGGAGGAGATCAGTTAGGTAGCTAGGCGCCAGCTTATTTCACATTTTAAAAGTGTGCAAGAGAATTTAAAATCAATCCCGTATTTAACGGGGAGCCAGTGTAAGCTAGCTGGGACTGCAGTGATGTGATCGTACCTTCTGATGCCGGTTCAGAGGCGCGCAGCAGCATTTTGAAGCGACTGCTGAAGGAGAGAGTGGGAGGCCAGTCCAGAAGTGCTGAGAGCGGGGAAAGTCTTTCAGTGGGACGTGGCGCTTTGCTTTGGCACGTTGGTGTAGCTGATGCTAGGGCTGCTCAGTTAATCGAATTTCAATCTAAATTACGATCTGGGCTTTCAACGATCATTAAAAATGACTGAGCCGATTATTAGCCCCTCCCTCGTGCTTTACTCTCGCGCTGCTCCGTGTGGCAAATCGAGCGCACCTCTCTGCGTTTCGAACACGCGTCACAACAATTAAGAGGGAAGCTCAGCAGAAGTTATTTGGAGAGGAGAGTGACTGCCGCTGGTTGGAAAGAGAAAAAGCTTCAGTGGTGTGGAAACATTACAGGTTCAGTCAGACGTGGATCAAGTGGACACAGTGTGTGAACTTTGCTACGGTGTAGCTGCACCACAGAGCAACACTGCAAAGTTCACGAAACACAGATGTTTACATTTTTCATTTATTTTTATATTGCAAACATTTGCACTATTTTATATTATTTTTAAGTCATTATTCAACACATTGTTATTAAATAAATATCGTCAAATAATCGAGATCTCAATGTCAGTGAAAATAATCGTGATGATCATTTTTGCCATAATCGAGCCGCCCTACTGATAGAAACTAGTGCTTCTCTAATTTGAGGGAGCTATGCAAACATACTCCAGTGTTCCTGACAGTGCGAGAGGGCCGGTGGCCCAGAGGGCCGTCGCCTCTAAAGCTGTCATTTCTGTTTTATTGTCATTTGGGGTGCGAACATTATGCCACAGCCAGGCTTTAACGTCCCGCAGACAGTCAACACAGGCTGGAGGGGGCAGAGGCATGCAGGTCCAGGGGCAGGTCATCAGCAGTGGAAACGGATGATTTATTAAAATGCATCCCAGCAGGTCGGCTTGTTTTCTCTGCTGCGTCGCGGTGTTTGGCGGCAGAGAACTCTGGACGCTCGAGTGACTCCCGGCACTTCCTGTTCATTAATGATCCGTGAAAGAATCAAAACTCGCTGACGCTCGATCACCTGACCACCGACTCATCACTCTGTTCAGGTGCTGAAGCGTGAAAAGCTGACGTGAAGCTGATTTGTGCTGACCGCGTTCGTGGAGCCGAGACTCTGCTGCGCGGCGCTCTGTGACCACAGGCGTGCTGCGCACCGACTAACAATGATGTAACCCAGGAAACCGCGTCACTGCCCGCACCGCGCTCTGCTTCAGCGTGAGCGAGCAGGAATCTCATTCTGAGACTGAACTCCGCCGGGTCAGGAGGCGGTGATGTCACGTGTGTCAGTAACACGGCTGTGTGTTTGCAGACAGCTGCTGCAGATGTTGCGTGTGACTCTGTGGTCTTTGTGGCTCTGCAGGTCTGCTGGCGTCGCCTCAGTCGGCCCCCGGAAACCTCGACGACAACAAAAACGCCGAGAGTCGCGGCAACGGCGGCAGCGGCAGCCGGGAGAACAGCACGGTGGACTTCAGCAAGGTAAACGCGGGGCTCCGCCTCACACGCCGGTTGGGTGGTTTATAGGTCGGCTGCTGCTCCCTGCAGCTTTCCAATGTTTGGAGCTTCAGGGAGGTGAGAGATGCTTTAATGGTGAGAGGTCAGAGCTGCACCACTGTGACCTCTGACCCCTGCCAGCTACATGAAGCCTCACACATCAGCTGGTGTTCAGATGGGACTGAAACATCCCTGAGCTGTGGGCTGGTGGGTGTAGGAGGCTCCACCCTGACGCTGCTCCGCCTATCAGACGCACTGTGATAGGCTAATAACTCACAGAAGCACCGAGATGGATGAAACGTTCAGTCTGTGAGTCTCTGACCCAATCAGAGATGTTTACCTTCAGACGGTGAGCGTCTTCAGAGCTCCGGCCCTTTAAGTGCACAGAGATGCACAGGAAATGACCACATGAAACTTCTGAAGGGTTAAAAACACGTTTTTAGCTCCCACACCCGGAAATCTGAGGCTGGCGCTCCGTCAGAACTAAATCCAGGTTACACGGTGGCCTCGCAGCTCAGGGCGGGTTCACACAGTAACCTGCCAATGTGGCGGAGTCTAAACTGACTGTCACCGAGCCTCCACTCCTCGAGTCGTAGGCATAACCTGCAGAATTAAAGCTGTGATGGTCCTGAGTGACCTCATGGACGGGTCGCTTTAATTCAGTGGTTTATGTTTGACTTTCACACATGAAAGAGAAGCTGTGGGTGGAGGAACCTGCCGCCTACTTCCTCCACGCCGCGAACGAACGCAACGACATCGTCACAGATTAACGTGCACAGTAATGCGCTGAAAGGCAGCACGAGGCTTTCCTGCACAGCAGAACATCCGTTTGCTTTTGCAAAGTGTTGGAGACAAAAGTGTAAATCGAATGCAGATTTGATCAACTCTGAATCAAGTAGATCCGACTCTGCGTCGGGATCAGCCTGATGTCCGATCCAAGCATCGGATCGTTGCGTCCGTGGTTCAGCAGGTCATCGGGTATCTGCTTACATTAAGGATGAAATCAGGAGACTTGGTCCGTCACAGCAGAAAATCCGCAACACAGAGATGAATTCCACTTCCTGCTTCAGTCTGTGACGCTATTGGACGATGGAGCTCAAACTCTTAAAACCATCCAGTGAGCATCCAGCTGTGCAGCCACACCTGCCTCCAGGTGCAAACAGAACCTGAGCTTTCGGTCACGTGACGGCGAGTCCCCGAACGAGCCAATCAGAAGCTGTGTTGTGTTTCCCAGCAGGACTGCGACTGCGTTTGTTTGCTGCCAGCGGCCAGCAGGAAGCCCGCAGTAAGTCACATGTCAGTCGCCGGCCCTCGGCCAATCAGTGTAGCCTGTGCTGTGACTCATCGTGGTGGTGCTCTGTGATTGGCTGTCTGTGGCGTTCTGTGACCATCAGCTGTTTCAGTGTTGGATGGAAAAATGTTTTTATTGATTTATTCAATCGAACTTTATTTACACAGGAACTCAGATTCATGACAAACTCATGGATCTGTTCACTCCTCC